TCCATAGGTATGTCTTTTGTTTTGTCGATGTTTATTGCATCATAATTATCGTACTTGGGGTATTCTTTTTCGTTGCCGTAGTATTGTTTGTATAGGAGTAGGTCTTCGTGGCGTTTTTTGTGGTCGAGGTTGGTGTACCAAATAGATGTGGATCTCCCCTTCACTACTCCATCTATTATTTTGTATGAACTCCCTTCTTTCTTGTTATGCATTAACTGCTGTGCAATATCCTTTGGCAAATCAAAGAGAAGATCTGTGCTCATGGGGGTATTTCCTACCCATACCTTGTTTTCTTTTATCAGCTTAAAGATTTCTTTATATGTAATTGCATTTTTACTTCCTATAATAATAAACTTCTTCCCATACTCCACCAACTGTGTTACGTATGCTCTAAACAAAGAAAACGGAGGATTTGTTACTACTATATCTGCTTGCTTGAGTAACTCTATGCATTCTGTGCTTCGAAAGTCACCGTCTCCCTGTAGGTGCTTTACTCCTATGTCTTCGGGGTGGGGTACTCTATTGTTGTTTATATCTCCCTTGTATTCTAAATATATTGCCTTTTCACTAGTATGTGTGCTAAATAAGTCTCTCTGTTGATTTTTATAACACGTAGTAATAAGTTTTTGTAATTCAAAGTTCTTAAAGTTATACGAAAAATAATGAAAAAAATTACTTATCCTTGGATCGTCACAGTTGCAATATATTACCTTGTTTCTAAAATGCTCTTTGTAATGCTTGAGTTCGTTTTCGATGTCGGTAAGCTGAGTATAAAACTCATCCTTCTTTGCGTTTTTTGCACTGTGTAAGTTGCTATTTAACTGCGTGCTCATACTGCGCCCATATGTTTTTATGATAGCACAGCATTACGTGTGTTGCATATACAGCAGTAGCTACCCACTACTATTTCTTCCTCTTGTACGCCCTCTGTATGTATGTAAAATATATTGTGCAACTTTTGTTCAACTGTGATAGAATACATTAGGAGGTATACGCAAATGTCTCAAAATAAAGATAAACCCACTAAATGTAAAAAGACATCAAAAAATGTGGCAAGTACAGCATGTGATGTGTTTCGTGATGGTAGAACTGATAAAAAATCAAAAGCCACTGCAGGGTCAGCCCTCTCGCAAAGAGAATCTCAGAAAAAAACAAAAAAAGGAAAATAAAACTATCCTTACTAATTAGTATTGTTTGTTGCATTGCTTGTTCTCGACAGGAATGGCATACGCCCATGCACCGGTAAGTATAGGTGTAAACGGTGCACATAGAAGCAAGGTCGCATAAGAACCCTCAACCACGTATAGCTCTTGCAATATCTTGCACAGACAGAGAAAGGAGGTTACAATATAAAGAGGAGGGGTTATGCCAACGAAAGCTAAGAAGAAAACTCAAAATTCACTTTTTGATACAGAAGAGCAGGGCAAAGCAGGTACTGCAGTATACGACGAAAGCAAGATAAAAACTCTAGGTTCGCTAGAACATATACGCTTGCGTTCGGGTATGTACATAGGAAGAATAGGAGACGGAAGCAACCTAAACGATGGTGTATATATCCTTATAAAAGAAATAATAGACAACAGCATAGACGAATACATTATGGGGTATGGCAAACAAATACGCATACTTTATGATAAAAAAAGCAGAATGCTATCTATAAGAGATTACGGTAGAGGCATACCTTTTGGCAAGCTTATAGAATGTGTATCGGTAATCAATACCGGAGCTAAGTATAATAATGAAGTATTTCAGTTTAGCGTTGGTCTTAACGGAGTAGGAACAAAGGCCGTAAACGCCCTTTCTTCTCATTTTAAGGTATGCTCTTTTCGAGACAAGCGCTATGCATCAGCTGTGTTCTCTCAAGGGAAACGCATAAAAGAAACAAAGGGAAGCACAGAAGAAAAAGACGGCACCTATGTTGAATTTATTCCTGATGCAGAAATTTTCCAAACATATACCATAGACCTTGATATTCTTGCATCTCGTATATGGAATTACGCATACCTTAATCCAAAACTTACCCTTACATTGAATGGAGAAACACATATCTCTCAAAAGGGTTTGGTGGATTTGCTCGAGCAAGAAGTGGGTGACAAATCGCTCTATCCAGTTCTAGGGATACGAGACTCTCAGTTAGAGTTTTCCTTTACACATACACATAGCGAAAACCTGCTAAGTTTCTCTTTTGTAAACGGCCAGTATACGGCAGATGGTGGCACACATCAAAGCGCCTTCCTAGAGGGATTACTGCGCGGGATAAACGGGTTTTACAATAAAAATTACAACTCTGGCGATCTAAGAGAAGGGCTGGTATCGGCAATATCAATAAAGCTAGAAAATCCAATCTTTGAAAGCCAAACTAAGAATAAGCTAGGAAACACTGAAATACGCCAGGGTATAGTAAAGCAAGTACACGACTGTGTGGTAGACCTCTTGTTTCGCAACACTGGCGTTGCTAAAGTAGTAGCCGAAAAACTCGAACAAAACCAAAAACTCCGGCGAGAACTGTTATCAGTACGAAAAGAAGCGCGGGAAGCCGCAAAAAAAGTATCGCTAAAAGTACCTAACTTTAGAGACTGCAAATACCATCGCGATCATGCAGAACATGGGCCTGCTACAGTTATTTTTATTACCGAGGGGCACTCTGCCACCGGGTCCATGATACCTTCCCGAAATGTGTACAACCAGGCAGTATTTTCCTTAAGGGGAAAGCTTAGTAATATGGTGCAGGGTGATCGCAGAAAAATCTACAAAGATTCTGAACTCTATAATCTTATGGTTGCATTGGGAATAGAAAGCAACAGTGATGATCTGCGCTTTGAAAAAATAATTATCGCAACAGACGCCGATTTTGATGGGTTTCATATTCGCAACTTAATCATTACATTTTTTCTTACATTCTTCGAATCCCTTGTAGTAAAAGAACACCTGTATATCTTAGAAACTCCGCTTTTTAGGGTACGAAATAAAACCTCACTGCGCTACTGCTATTCTAAAGAGGAGCGTGATGTAGCTATGCGCGACATTGCACACGCCGAAGTCACACGCTTTAAGGGTTTGGGAGAAATCTCTCCCCACGAATTTGGCCAGTTCATTGGTAAGGACATGAAATTAGAATCTGTTCGGGTAAAGAAGATAAAAGATATTCCCAACCTACTACAGTTCTATATGGGAAAGAATACAGATGAGCGCAGAGAATTTATGAAAGAACATTTACTATAAGGAACAAACATGCCATACGTAGAACAGATACTGAAGAAAAATTTTATTGAATACGCATCATATGTTATTAAAGAACGCTCCATCCCCTTGTTGGACGATGGGTGCAAACCAGTGCAACGAAGAATACTACACACCCTGCTATCGGTGGATGATGGAAGGTTCCATAAGGTAGCTAATATAGTAGGAGAATGCACAAAATACCACCCTCATGGTGATGCTCCAATATTTGAAGCCCTTGTAAACCTTGCAAACAAGAACATCTTTATGGATATGCAAGGAAATTTCGGCAACCCTTCTACGGGCGACCCAGCGTCTGCCGCTCGTTACATTGAATGTCGCATAAAAAACTTAGGAAAGGAACTGCTCTACGCACCCCAGGTAACAGAATACGTTGACTCCTACGACAGCAGAAACAGAGAGCCAGTTTCTTTTCCTGTAAAAATTCCTCTCATACTTATTACTGGGGCAGAGGGAATAGCTGTGGTTACCGCTACCACTATGGTGCCCCATAACTTCTGCGAGGTAGTACAGGCGTTAATACTAGCCCTGCAAGACGCAAGCTATACACTGTACCCCGATTTTCCCAGTGCTGCCCTTATTGATGTTTCTGAATATAACGATGGGCTTGGAAAAATAAAAGTACGAGCAAAGCTGGACAGTTCCCACCCTAAGCAAATAGTTATTACCGAGCTTCCGTATGGAATTACCACTGAAAAAATGATACATTCTATAGAAAATGCAGTAAAGAGCGGAAAAATACCTGTTTCATCTATTAACGATTATACCTCAGATAAAGTGGAGATAGTGCTTACGCTTCCCAGGTCTGTCTATGCAAAAGACATAGAAGACTCTCTCTATGCATTTACAGATTGCGAAATATCCATTACCCTTAACCCCGTAGTAATACAAAACTCAGTCCCAGAAAAACTAGGCACAAGCAGCATCATCGAGTACTTCAAAGAAAAGACACCAGAAATACTAAAAAAAGAGCTTTATGTAGAAAAAAAGAAGAAGGAAGATAGTATTCATGTTCGCACATTAGAACGTATTTTTATTGAAGAGCAGATATACAAGCAACTAGAAAGATGTAAGACAAGCACAGAAATAAAAAGCACCATAGAAAGTGAGATGCACAGACACAGCAAGGAATTCTATAAGGAATACCAAGAAGCAGACACAGAGCATCTACTCAATATGCCCATACGAAGAATATCAGCATACGATGTGGAAAAGCACAAAAAAGACCTAGCGGTATTAAAGAAGGACTTACAAAGCATACGCTACAACATTAAGCACGTACTACAATACACCATTCGCTACTTAGAAAGCTTACTTGCACGCTACAAGAGTCTTTTCCCAAGAAAAAGCACAATACTTGCTTTCGATACAGTACGCGAAAAAGACGTAATGCAACGAAACCTACCATTTCATTATGATAAGAAAAGTGGCTACATGGGCTACACGCTTACAAGCGGAAAAAAAGTAGCTACGGTTACTCAGTTAGATAAGGTACTTTTATTTAGAAACGATGGAACATGGACAATAGTACAGGCATGCAAAAAACAATACGTTGGCGATGTTTTACTTATCGGCTTGCTGGAGAAAGAAAAACTTGAAAAGAGCATTTTTACTGCTGTATACAGCATGCAAGTAGACACAAAAGAGCATAGCTACATAAAGCGCTTTATGATAAAGAAATTCATACCCAACAAAGTCTACACATTTATCCCTGAAAAAGCAACACTGCGTGCATTTACAAGTCAAACAAAGGTAGCATTGCATATAGAATATGCCCCTGCAAAATTGATAAAAAAACTACAGGAAGATATTGCTATAGATACTTACACAGTAAAGGGTATACAAAGCAAGGGCGTTCGCATTTCAACTAAGAAAATCAAGAAGTGTACAATAAAATAGAATTACACCACTGTACTGAGTGCAAGCTCTATCATATCGGTAAAAGTACGTTCGCGCTCTTCTGCACTTGTTTCTTCTTTGCTTACCAGGTGTCGCTTACCGTTAATATACTAAGCGCACGAACAGAAAACTTAGCGGCTAGCGTATAAAGCTGTGCCGTCTCCATCTCTACACCCTGTACACCATGTGCTGCCCATATTTTCCATGCGTGAGGGTCGTCGTCATAGAAGGTGTCAGAGGAAAGCACCGAGCCAAAACGAGCATCGAGGTTTTTCTTCTTGCACTGCTCGTAACATGCAAATAGCAATGTTGCATCAGCGGTTGCTGCATACTGCATGCCCCTAAAGCGCTCTGCATTCATTGCTGAATTTGTTGATGCTGAAATTGCTACAAGCAACTGTCGTATTTTTAGGTCTTCCCGTAAAGAACCACACGAACCAACACGGATAATATTTTTTACCTTGTACGAATGTATAAGTTCGTGTATATAAATGGCAGCAGAAGGCTGCCCCATGCCGCTCGCCTGCACAGATACTCGCTTGCCTTTGTAGGTTCCTGTAAAGCCATATGCACAACGTACTTCGTTGTAGCACTTCGCGTCTTCTAAATATTTGTTTGCAATAAATTCTGCCCTCTTTGGATCTCCTGGCAACAGCACGGTGTCGGCTACTGCGTTTTCGGGGGCATTGATGTGTATACTCATTTTCTCTCCTTGCTTTTTCTTTATTGTAGCAAACTATAGAAAAACTCGTATTATCCGTATAAAGAACGAAGAAGGTACGTAGTAATGCTGTCGAGCGGGGCCGTTGCAAATGAAAGGAAGCTCCGAAGACCTGCTTCGTCCAATGTCGGACCATCCACATCGATACTTGTAAGTGCAACTTCTTGCTGCGTACGAAGTGTAACCCGTATTAGCTGTGCATGTTTGAATTCAAGTAAGTATTCTGCATCTGCGTCCACTCCTGCTTCTAGCTCGCTTTGTGGTATTCGTATGCTAAAACGTGGGGTTCTGCCGTATATCCATTCAGTGCTGCTTAGTCGCTGCTTCTGCTGTGTATACACCTGCAGTAACTGCTGTTCTTGAAGAAAGCATGGCAGTTGACACTCTGTAAGATACACTAGCTCTTGTTCTGTGCTGCTATTGTGCACAAACAAGGAGCTGCAGTAATCACCCTGCAGAAATTCTGCAAGCAATGTGGGGTATGATATACCAGTTATACCCACCTCTGCTCTTCGCGATGCTATAGCGCGTGAATCAATCTGTGGTTCTGTATTCTTATGTAGCAGTTCTGAAATAGTTTGCCTGTTTGGTGTTAGTAGTACTGTAAAATGATGAAGAAGAGCCTGCTTAGTATAGCGCATGGCACTACCTGATATTTTTTTTCCTTCATACAGCATATCGTTTTTTTCTCCCAGTTCGACTTCTACCCCCAAAGAGTGCATTATGTTTCTAAATGTTATGCTGTTTTTTTGAAGCTGCTGGGGATCGGCTTGGGAAATAATGCAGATATTTATATTCTGCATGTCGTGATATACAGTGCCTCCACCGCTGTCTCTCCGTGCAAGCACTGCCCCAACAACCTTTAGTGCCTTCATAGAACACTCGCACCATGGGTTTTGATTTCTTCCAATAACAACTGAAGACTTGCTCTGATAAAAAATAATGCAGGGTACGTTGGTTTCTATAAATGAATGAAGCATAGCTTGCTCAAACGCAAGCGTGCTATATATGTGTGAGGGACGCTGGAAAATACATATCTTCATACGAAGATACTAGTCAACACGGAAATCTAGTTGTTTTCTTGACCTATTGCACTATTCTCTGCAATATAATCGAAAAGAGAGCCTTGCGTAATGTCTGTTATCTTGTTAGCATATATCCAAGTATCTTCAGTGCTCACATCCCCTTCATTCTTTCCCTTTTTCCATATCCAAAAACTTGCCTCTTTTTGTGGGATAGCAAAGTAAATATTTAGTTCCCTATTCGCAATAAAGAAGTGTACATCATCTTTATGAAATTGAACAAAGTTAATCCTTGGATAAAAACTTGTGCTGTGCACCCAGTTATTTTCTCCTAGGTAAATGAAAGCTCCCCCTTCGTATTCATAGATAAGAGATGTTTTAGTGTCTTCAGAGAACAAAGAACCCGCCTCATCTCCAAAGTTTGCGTTCGAATCTGAAACTTCACGACCTCCGCCAGTATCATTTACTACATCTAATGCTGATGTCATAAGAGAAAACACACTATCAGGAGACATAATGCCACTCAAGCGACCTAATTCTGTACGAGTATTAGGATCGTAGATAAGCAAGGTGGGAAATCTACGAACAGCAAAATCAGCGCTTACAATAGCGTCGCCTTGTATAAGCACGGGGACAAAATCTTGATTTACCCTGTTGTAGACAATATTATTAGAAAGAGTGCTATTGAGAATACTCTTAGATACCGAGCTCGATGGGAGCTCTGTAAAGAATAAGAAAAGAGGCTTATTATACGTGTTTGCGATGTACTGAGCATAATCTAAGCTACTTGACCACACTATTTTACTCTGTGTGTCACCCAATTGCGCAAAAGAACTGTAGCTTGCATTAATAAAGATTATAGAAAAAATGAGTAGCTTATACACCTTTCTCATATACTATCACTCCTTTGTAATTTTCTTGTTCTATGACCATCATCAATATACTTATATCAGATTGCCTAATGCCTGAAATCCTTGAAGCCTGCTGTAAGGTTCGTGGTTTCATTTGCTTCAATTTTTCACGGCATTCATTTGATAGCCCTTTTATATTATCGTAATTAATGCTTGGAGAGATTAGCTTTTTTTCTATTTTTTTTAATTTTTCTATTTTCTGCTCTTCTCTTCGAATAAACCCCTCGTATTTTATATCAATTTCTGTCTGGTGCAGTACATCAGAATGAAAAGAATGTATGATATCCCCCGCTCCGAGATAGCTCATAAGCATAGAAATATCCATGTCGGGACGGCGTAGTAATTGCAAGAAATGTACTCCAAGCTGTGTTTTAAGAGATGGTTCTGCATCCACTATTCTTTTATTTACACGACGTGTGCTCAAGAGCTTTTTGAGTTCTTTGACGTCATTTCTTTTTTTATTAACACGCTGCATGCTCAGTTCATCAATAAGCCCTACTGTGTAGCCAAGCTCTGCAAGACGTAGGTCAGAACTGTCGTGCCTCAGATTCATTCGATGTTCAGCACGTGATGTAAACATTCTATATGGTTCTTTGGTTCCAAGTGTTACTAAGTCGTTAATAAGAACACCGATGTACGCCTCGCTCCTGCTGAGAATAAGAGGCTCCATGTTTCGTAACAATGCTGATGCGTTTATACCTGCCATAAGACCCTGTGCCGCTGCCTCTTCATACCCAGAAGTTCCATTAATTTGACCTGCGAGAAAAAGGCGCGAGATGTATTTGCTTTCTAAATGCTCGTATAAAAGCGAGGGGTCGCAGTAATCGTACTCTACCGCATAGCCTGGACGTAATAACTCTGCCTGCTCTAAGCCAGGTATAGTATGGATAAACTCTTCTTGAACATCGGTAGGTAAGGAAGTAGAGAGTCCATTCAGGTACATCTCTTCGGTGCTGAGGCCTTCTGGTTCTATAATAACTTGGTGCTGCTCTCTATCAGGAAATTTCTGCACTTTATCCTCTATAGAGGGACAGTAGCGAGGTCCTGAACCTATTATTTTGCCCGAATACAGTGGCGACCTGTGCATATTATTACGTATGCACCGGTGTGTTTCTTCTGTTGTATTGCTGAGATAGCATGCAACCTGCTCTTTGTCTATATGCTGCTGAGAAAAAGAAAAAGGGGTAATGGTTTCGTCTCCAAACTGCTGCTGTAGTTTTTCAAAATGGAGCGATCGTTTGTGTACTCTAGCTGGAGTTCCTGTTTTAAGTCTTCCCATGCTAATACCTGCTTCTTGCAAGACTATTTCAATCCCTGCGGTGGCTGGCTCTGCAAGTCTTCCTCCACTTGCTGTGTACTCGCCAATAAAAATTTTTCCATTCAAAAAGGTGCCTGTTGTAAGTACCACAACCTTTGCAGTTACTACTGCTCCTGTATCTATTCGCACACCACAAACTTGTTTCCCTTTTGCTGATTCCTGTATAAGCAGATCAACAACAGTGCCTTGCAAGAGACTGAGTTTTTTCTCCTGCTCTACGCTTTTTTTTGCCTCTACTTGATACGCTAGCTTATCTGCCTGCGCTCGTGGAGACTGTACTGAGGGCCCCTTGCTTTTGTTTAATATCCGGAATTGTATCATGGTTGCATCTATTAAGCGCCCCATCTGCCCTCCAAGCGCATCTATTTCGCGAACCATGTTTCCTTTTGCAAGTCCACCAACTGCGGGGTTGCACGACAACTTGCCTATGGTGTCTAGGTTCTGTGTTATAAGCACTGTAGCATGACCAAGCCGTGCTAGTGCTAAGCTTGCTTCTATGCCAGCGTGCCCTCCACCTATTACTATTGCTTCCCAATCCATATTATTCCTCTTTACGTGCTATGTATTGTGTATACAGTGCATTCAGCTGCTGAGACACCAACTGTACACTATCAATATGTAGAAAATGCGTTGACCCTTCGATCTGTGCTATGGAGTACTGGGTAAAATAACGCTGTATATACTGCTCTGCGTTATCTGGAAAATACTCTGTATGCTCTGCACGAACAAACAGCGTCGGACCATCGTAGCGTTTTACGTCGTAAGCAGAGGGAAATGAGCGCAGCGCATCATGCTGTTTTTCGATTTCGTCTAAGTTACAGTATAAACGAATATCCCCCTTCTCATCTTGGTAGACATTTTTAGACAAAGTAAATGCAATTTCCTTCTGCTGTACATTTTGATGAAGGTGCTCTACATATTCCTTTCTGTTATGCGGATGCTGTGCAAATGCGTTTCGGTAGGCATCAAAATAACGTGTATTGATTGCTGGGTAAGTCATAGGTGCTATATCCAGGACCACAAGAGTTGCTACTCGCTGTGGGTTTTGCAGGGCGTATATCATAGCATACTTTCCCCCTAAAGAATGCCCTACGAGATGTATTTTACTATCCCTTGCTAAGCCCATAGCACTACATTCTGCGTCTATGCTTGCCTCTACTATGCTCTGTGTGCCAATAAAGTCTCCAGGAGAAACCCAAGGAGAACTCCCATGATTAGGGAGATCGAAGAGTACGGGATGTAGCTGTGCATGCAAATTTTTAGCAAGCACTCGCATATGCATGCCAAACCCTAATAAGCCATGAAACATAAAACAAAGGTGGGGCCGCGCTTTGCCTTCGTCTGCGTTGTGTATGTGCTGCGAAAACAATAGTGAACTCATATCATGTATAGAAGAAATTCCTACTGATGATGCTACCTGTGCTTTCTCTTCTTTCTCGATTGTACCTCAAGCTTTACTCTGTCAATATATTCTTTTCGTGCACTATCTGTCTGTACTAGGGGTGCTGTTTCGTTTTTCTCAGCATGGTCTGTACTACTCTGTACTGGTAATGTCTGCGTGCTTGATGCTACGTGCTTTTTTGAGAAGCCAAGCACATATAGTAGTGGCGTTGCAATAAATATTGATGACCAGGTTCCTTCCACTACCCCTATTATAAGTACCAAAGCAAAGCTCTTTATATCACCAGTGGTGGCTATAAAGATGGCAGATACGGCTAGTAGGGTAGTAAGTGATGTAATAATGGTACGAGAAAGGGTCTTGTTTATGCTACTATCAGTAATAAGAGTGAAAGAACTTTCCTTTTTTGTCGCTACACCTTCTCTAATACGATCAAAGATAACTATGGTGTCATTTATGGAATATCCAATGATAGTAAGCACTGCTGCTAAAGTAGATACTGTTACTTCTATTTGAAACGCCCCAATAATCCCTATAATAAAGAAGGTATCGTGCATAAGTGCTAGTATGGCTGCTACAGCAAACTGAAACTTAAAGCGAAACCAAATATACAGCAACATAAGCAGCAAGGCAAATCCTACTACTACAACAGAGTTATTAAGTGAATTCTGAGATATAGTCGAACTGATAAACGAATTACTCAGCACAGAATAGGAATACTTACCCTCTAAAATACGTAGTACTTCCTGGTAGATTTCTTCTCTGTTCTCCTCGTTTGATGCCACTTTAATGTTATACTGCCCTGCGACCTCGGCATACGGAACAACCCGCAGTTGCTCAAAACCGCTTAGTAAGTCCTCAAGCTCTTCTTGAGAGCTTGCTTCCTGAAGCGCTACAATAATGTTCTGACCAGAACTAAAATCTATTCCTAAATTAAACGATCTATGAACAAAAAATGTTATCACAAGCAGCGAAAGTGTTATAAGGGTTGAGATAAGAAGACCTAGTGTATTAAAACGTGAAAATTGTATTGTTTTCATGAGTTCCTACTCCAGCCCATACGTATTCTCATTTTAAGAGCATCAACACCAAATTCCATAAAGAGACGTGAAAGAAACAAAGCCGAAAACAAAGTAGTAATAATTCCAGTAGATAAAGTTACCGCAAAACCCTGTATACGACCTGAGGATAACTGTGCTATAAAGATTGATGCTACTAACGTGGTAATATTGGCGTCCAATATGGTCCAGAATGCTTTTTTATACCCGTTTTCTATTGCTGTTCGCCTTGTTTTTCCTGCACGTAGTTCTTCTTTTATACGCTCATAGATAAGAACATTCGCATCTACTGCCATGCCTACAGTAAGAATAATAGCGGCTATGCCTGTAAGAGTGATGGTGAAATTAAACGAGGCGAGTACCGCTGTAAGCAAAAAAAGGTTGCAAAGAAGGGTAAACACTGATATCATTCCTGCTGTCCGATAGTATACAAACATAAAAAGCACGACCAGTGCAAAGCCTATAATAATTGCCTGAATTCCCTGCTGAATTGCTGTCTGTCCTAGCGTAGGGCCTATAAGTTCCTGGTCCACTATTTGTAAGGTCACAGGTAAGGCTGCAGTCTGCAGGACTATCGCTAAATCATTTGCGAGGTCTCGACTAAGCCCTTGAATAACTGCGCTTCCATCGCTTATTACCGCACTGATAGTAGCATATGCCCGTACTTTATCTTCAAGAGCAATGGCCATAGAGCGGTTCACATAATCACCAGTAAGCTTTGCAAATGTTTGTGCTCCGTCCTGATCTAGTTGGAAATTAACCAAGGGCCTGTTTGTTAGTTGGTCTGTGCTTACCTGAGCCCTCTGTAGGTAATCTCCTTTTACACCATAATTTTCTACATCCTCGTAGACAACTATCCATCGCTGGTGCTGATCTATGCCAAAACTATCCCTTACTACATATTCGATAATTTCTGTTCCCGCCTGTATAAAATCGGGTGTATTTGTTCCTGTATAGGTCCATGTAGGGTCTTGTCTTTGTAGTGCTATAAGCTGCTCGGTGGCGTCATCATCTACAAGAATAAATCTAAGCGCACCTTTCCCTTGTAAAAAGCTATTTATCTGCTCTCTTTCGTTTTCCCCTGGTATTTCTACAAGAATACTATCGTCATTTAGGCGGCGCAGCGATGGTTCGCTTACTCCAAACTTATCTATTCTATTTTGAAGGACAAGCATGGCTCTATCAATGGCTTCGCTAAGATCAGACGGGGTGGGGCTTCTGTCTAGTCTGCTAGCTAAGTCCTCTTGTTCTACCTGTAATACTGCACTTACTCCACCTGAGAGGTCTAGTCCTAAATTTATTATTCTATCTTTTAAGCGCTTTTCTGCAAGAAACTGCTCTCTATAGTAGTTGAGTAACACTTGATACACCTCGTCCTTGTCCTTAAATACAGTAAACACTTCATGTACTGGGGTGTTCTGTGCTAAAGTGGACTCTTGATCATTGCTAAAACGCTCCTCTGCCTGTTTTCTAAGTGCCACAAAACCTTCTGAGCTATATGTTTCGTTAGCGAATTCATCTTCATGCTGTCCTTGTAGCATTGCAAGTACTGTATCGGTATCTTGCTTTGCTAGCTCTCCTGCTCTCTCGCGTATAAAAGTACGATTACTTGCTGCAATCTCTTTACCTGAGTCTGGAGTAAGAACATACCATGTAAATGTAGGGTACAAAGACAGTGCCCCCAATCCAATACACACAGCAAAAATAAAAAAACGAAGACGTTTGCTCATTTATTAGTTACACCAGGTATGCTATTTCGTATTCTTAGTCTTTTCAGTCTTTTCAGTCTTTTCAGTCTTTTCGGGTACATCGCTTTTCGTATTTGCTACCGAAGATATACACTCTCTTACTACTTCAATTTCTGTATTGTTATCTACTTTCATAACAACGCTTTTATCTTTTACAGTAATTATTGTTCCGTAGATACCACCAATGGTAACAACTTGATCTCCATTTTTTATATTTGCAAGCATTTGCTTGACAGCTTTTTGTTTTTTCGACTGAGGTCGTATAAGAAACAAATACATAATAAGTATTAAAAGACCAAATGTCACTAACATTGGGACGGACGATGCTTGTTCTCCAGATTGACTTGCACTGGAAGCTAATAGAAATGTAAAATTATTCATGTTTTCCTCTTTATAATAACAACTTATATTTAGAGTATCAGAAAAAGTATATATAGTCAATGTCTTAGGGGGTTTATAACAACATAAGCACAATAATACCAAAGGTAACACCAAGGAATATACGCTTCTTCTTCATTTATATCTCTTTACCATTGTCTTGAATTACTAAGAACATATTGAAATTTTCTATATAATAGCTATATAATAGTAGTTGTATATTTATTACGGCTGTACTTAACTATAACACACTAAGTGATATAAGGAAAAAAACATGAAAAAAATACATAAGATTTTTATAGTACTCTTTATGCTATTTCACTCATACAGTGTATTTGCAATTGAGAATTTAGAGGATATTAGAGACCAAATTTTAGGAGCATCACAATCATTTTCAGAAGCAATGTTTCATAACTTGATGATGTCAAACACATGGAATAATGCATATATTGGTGATTTTCCACACTTTGGTATTTCTTTACAATCTGCTTTTTCAATAAGCAATATAGATGAAATAGCAGGAACTCTGATTGATGGATCCTTTGATGTAGTATCAGAACTGCAAAATTTTGACCTCGCTGAAATCCCTGGCGTATCTGCAAATGTTGTGCTAGGAGCAAGGATAGGCTTGCCACTACTTCCAATAGATGTGGGGGTAAGCGCTTCCTATATACCCATTGGGGGTCTTACTGTAGACAATTTTGAATTTCAAGATATTGTGGGGTTTGGCGGTGATGTACGTTATGCTCTTCTGCAATTAGGGAAAAACCATGCGTTCTCAGTGGGTCTTTCCTATTACTATCAAAGCATGGGCGTGAGCGTGCCTCTTGCTGTCGAGTTATTTGATAGCTTAAATAGTTTGTACTTTAAGCCGAGTGCTGACTATAAAATTTCTATGAAATGGGATACGCATACTATGGGGGTAAAGGCTCAGTACAGTATTCTTCTTCTGGGGTTTCTAGAGCTTATGTCAGGTATAGAACCATACTATGGTGTTTCTTCTCTTACAGCAGGATCGAGCGGTTCTGCATCAATACGAATAGGAGATGAGGAACTCTCGCTTGATGGCTACATTGAAAAATACGGCAGTCTTATTAGTAGTGTCTTCACTGGCTCACAATTATCTATACCAGGAAGCAGTGAAGGATTTGGAACTAGAATTACTGCTGGTTTCGGGTTCCGATTGTTCTTCTTTACTCTTGATTTTATAGCCAGCTACGACCCCTTGCTAAGCGTGTTAGGGGGTAGCATTGGAACACGGTTTATCTTTTAATGAATACCAAATGGTAAGGGGCGCAATGAAAGCATAGCTTTGAAATATATTATAGGGAACAAAAACGGAAAAAAAACAGGAAAAATAGCTAAGATATATGAACAGAGTGAGCATGCTATACCTGTTACTGAAATAGACAGAAGAATTATAGGTATACTTACTACCCTCAAAAGGGCTGGGTACACCTCATATATAGTGGGGGGTGCGGTAAGGGATATTCTTATTGGAAAACACCCGAAAGACTTTGATCTCGTTACAGATGCAAACCCAAAGAATATATGTGCCTTATTCCGTGGGGCTAAGATTATTGGAAAGCGTTTTACACTAGTCCTGCTCCCAATAGCAAGGAGTACGTATGTTGAAGTAAGTACCTTTCGATCTGCTGAACAAAAACAGGTAAATTACTACGGTTCTATTCTTGAC